TGGTGGCCATCTTGGATTTTTGATTTTCATTCAGCATTTGATGGGAAACTTTGTCAGCTATCACCACACCAACTTTCAGCTCAATATGACTAAAATTGGCTGATTTATAGTATTTTTCCTTTTTTGCTAAGGCGGCCATCTTGGATTTTTGATTTTCCGTCAGAGTCTAATTAAGGGTCATTTTCAGCTACAAATACGCCAAATTTCAGCTGAATATCTCCAAAAATGGCAGTTATCCTAGTTTTTCTATGAAACAGCTGAATAGTAGCTAAAGAAATGTAGAAAGAAGGTTAAATTTCCAAAAGGAAGTGAAGGGAGCTTAATTGGGCCCAATAAGGCTGAAAGATGCATAAACTAACACAATAAAGTTGAAATTATCTGAGAAAATCTGAAATATGCTAAAAAAAACAGCTGAATAGTAGCTAAAACAAGCAGAAAGAAGCTTAAATTGCTAGAAGGACGTTGGGGGAGCATCTTTTTGCTGAATTAGGCTGAAAAAAGTTAAAATGATTGGAAAAAAGGTGGAATTAGCTGATAAAAAATGAAATCAACATAAAACAGCTAAATGCTAGCTGAAATAGCAGATATAGCTGAAACAACAGAAATAGCTGAAACTAGCAGAATAAGCTGAAATTAGTAGAAATAAGTTTTGAAGAAGCACAAAAATGATGAAGTTAGCTGAATGAAACTGAAAGGAGCACAACACAGCTTAAAAAAGAACAGCTGAAACTAGCTGAAGTATCTGGGTGTTTTTTTTTTTAATTTTTTATTTTGCACAAGGAAGCTGAAAGAAGCTTAACTGGATCTAAATGTGAAAGTAGTAGTGAAGGATGTAAAATGAGCTCCATTCATTTTCAATGAGAGCAAAAATGGCAGAAAAGGCTAAATACTGTATCACAAAAAGCTAAAGCTGCACCAATACCAAACGTCATAGCCATCGTCTCGTGAAAGAGCTGAACGTTTTTTGATATATGAATTGCTGAAATAGCACAAAAGCTGTGGGAGGAGATAGGTGCCAAAAAACGTACAGAGTAGTTTATAGAAACTATAACAGAAAAACAAACATTCACACAATAACCCCCTTCGAACTTGTTCAGTTAAAGGCCTTGATATTCTAGAAGGATTGCATATCGCCCACTTCCTTTCATGTCAGAGTTTCAAACTAAAAGCATCTTATGCTGAGAAAAATCTTGGATTAACTTTGAAAATGTCGTGATACTGTGACAAGATTAACTCTCAGTATGTGTTGAGGATGACTCTCAACTACTACCACACCCAAGTCCAGCTCAATAGCTGTAAAACTGGACGAATTGTAGCCTTTTTTGTTGTTGTTGTTGTTTTGCTAGTGTCAACTAGCTGTGGTGGCCATCTTGAATCAACACCAAATATTAATGAGTTGTGGAGAAACATCCACAGATTATTCCCTGGTAGTTTCAGTGAGACACAACCAGTGGTTTACGAGATATTTCGCTAACACTTATGCAAACATAAAAAGACCATAGATATGCAAAACTGAGATTTGAATCGAATGGTTTTAGTGCGTTCGTAACATATATGATGCAATTTATTGTCTCGTGTGCAAACATTAAATCAAGAAAAACTAAAACAATGTTTATCAGAATTATGACAATCAACAAACTCTTAAAGTTCCAGATTTTCCAGTAAATAATAATGAATTTAAAGACAATTAAGAACATTTGATAGACCTCTCTGCCCTCTTCTGGCCAGGACAGGAAGACACATCAATTATTCTATGACAGACTTTTTACACGAATATCAGGAAAAGCATTAGATGACAGAAGCAGATTTTATGACCTGATTGAAAATAATCTCTATCAGATTAGCTCATCGTTCTCCTGGAGTCGGGCAGTTCTGGAAAAGCTGAAGTGATTGACAGACTTGTGTGTGTTTTTCCAGGTAACCTTTCCAAACCCGGAGGCAGAAGAGTTGCTCAGAGAGGAACGCAGCCCACATCCAAGCAGCGAGCTGCGTCTCAGTCAGCGTGCTCATCCTCCCTCCTCGTCTCTGCATGCAAGGACTGACCCCTCATCAGCAGCAGCTCAGCGCTCCCCTTCAACACCTCTGCTCCAAATTAAACGGTTCTGTTCCTTCTTGCTTCCATGACTCACTGCGTTGTCATCCTGCTCCATCTGCAGTAATTATTGATTGTGAGGAAATTCCAGGCTGAGGTGGGGATTCATACCTGATGAGAACTTTTGGACACACTTTAACAATCCTGCTTAAGAGACGGCAAAATACTTGATTATCGGTTGGAAAATATCTTGTTTTTATGACTAAAATGTATTCTTCTGCACTTTTTTTAAAATATAAAGTTTCATTTAAATTAAAGTTTTCCGTCTAGGACATCATTTAGTCAAACGCTAACATTTCTGCTCCTTTCTAGAAGTTTTTTTGAGGTTTAATTTTTAGACAAACTGCATGTTCACCTTTTAGAATCAGAATCAACCTTTATTGTCATTGCACAGAAACACAACAAAATTACATTTCAGTACAGAAGTCCAAAGAAAACAACATGGGTAGACGGAGATGCCTGAGGCTGCAGCCTCGTGGGAAGCGCTGCCCTTTTCGTTTAGATAAGGAAAAGGGAAAACATGAGGAAAGAGGAACTTAAAAAAAAATTCATACCTTATGTTGCAATAAAAATCTCAGCACAATAAAATGCAACATACTGGTGACATAAAGACATATGCATGTGGAGTGGGTGAGGGTGGGGCTCCCAAAAGTGAGGGACGCAGCCACTGGTGCCTTCACATACCTAGGTTGCTGAAGGTGGTGAATTTGAGGGGAAGTAGTCCGTGGACACTGTTCATATACCCCGCCCCCCCAGCTATAGTCCTGATAAGTGACGGCGCAGCGTTTATCAGCCGGCTCGGTAGAGCTCTGACACAGTCCTTGGGGAAGGGAGCGAGTAGGAGAGGGGGGAGAAGAGCGT